ACTTCCAATGTGTTCTCCATTGTTTAAAGGGAGAGAGCAAAGGATGTGGTATACTCATTCTTGTTCAAATTTTAGAGCCAAGTATCGTTGTACCCCTGTTGTCCAGACAAAGTATGTCTCTCAACTTAAAATTTATTTTATTTGATTGAAAATTTGAGATAGGATGTTTGATTTGCCAATAATCTATTAATTAGTCCACTTGTCTTCTTGTCACTGCACGTCAATTAGTTGGGTTTGTTAATCAATTATTTAGTCCATTAAGTAATTGAGTGGTGGTATTATATCTACCTTGAGTAAGTGAAATATAATAATTCGTATGATTTGTTGGTAAGATCGCACACTAAGTATAATCTGCATTATTTGATGACAATATGTTTTGTCAAAACTATTAAAGTGACACTAGTAATTAAAACAATGGTGCTAAAGTATATGATACAACTACATATAGATTGTTGGAGAACAATTTAGAAACAATAAATAACAGAAATATAGAACCGAAATACTTATACTTTATTATTCAAAAATACTTGCAATACAGAATGCAATTACACAATAAATACAAACAATTAAAATGATACTAACTTGAATGAATTGAAGGTAGAGGCTAGCGAAAACGCTATGTCCTTCGAACAGTATTTCCGTCCCACTCGTGTGCTTGTGGTTCTACAACGTCTGCTCGACCAGGATACAACTACCTAATTCTACAACCCGCACTGGATTATAGAACTCTAGCGAATTGCTTTGTGTGTTTACTCTCTAGAAATTTTGTACGGAAGACAAGGGGGAAGAAAAAGATGATTTTTGATGGAACTGAGGACTCTAGTTATATAGGCTCTTTCATACCTTTTCATACACATTTTGGATGTATCTGAAGCTATACAACTATTTCCAAAGAGATACACCTCTTTCCAAAGAGTTGTGTCTATTAATCAAAACATTTTAAATTAATTTAATTAAAAACTTAATTCGAAATTAAAACTAATTGATTAGATTAATTTTAATTCCTTGGCCCCAAGTGCCCCCCCTTGTCTTGATTAATTAATATTAATATTATAGTATAATCATCAAGCCTAATCCACACAACCATAAGACCCAAGCCTTCAATCCATTTCCAAATGGTCCAAGTTCTAATTACTAAGAAAAAGGAATAAGCCTATATAAAGGCTAGTGAAAAAATACTGTTGACCAATGTGGAACAAGAGGGTCTTAAACTCCTACATAGATAAATAAAATCAAACATAACAAACATCGTCTTAAAGAGATGAAAATTTTAGTTTAAGTACAACGAGTTAGGTTGGTTTGACTCGGCACGAGCACAACTGGCCTAAAGTCACAGTTGTCATCGTGGAAGATAACTCGTAGTATTTAGATGATTTTTTGCTCTTGTTTCGATGGCTGAAAGGCATATACGATGCTCGATTATGAGATTGAGAACCCAATTAAGTCTTGAAAATAATGAATTTAATACCAGACAAAGATAGATTATTTTTTTTGATGAAGGACAAAGATAGATTATAGTGGTTGTGTGCTTGCAGTTTTTTGTATATATGGGAAGATTCTTATTTTTTCTTCCTCGAATTCCCAATTAAACTTATATTTTGAAGCATAACATTGTATTAATTTGTTTTTAGCGTATTTTTCTGGGCTAACTATTCACAGTTTGATGGCGTGTGGGGGGCTTGGTATATTAAATATAGAAATAAATAGACATACTGAGTATTTTCTAAACTTAGATTTTGAAAAAAAGGAAAGAAAAAACACCACATTATCAAAACCTGAGAAATTTTTAAATCACAAAACTAGAGAAGAAAGAAGACGATGAGGACCTCGTACTCGTCACAAAGAGAATGGCACCTGTTGTGTTCTTTTGTCAGAGTAGAGAACAGTAAACCTTAAAGGAGGGTGAATTTTAAATAGCTATAAGATTAAAAGATAATGAGAAAAATCATATAAAAATAACACTCCTTAGTGTTCATAGGTATTCATAAAACATTCTACTATAATTACAATTGCTCTCGACGAGTTTTCATAGTTTGAAATCTTCTCATAATCACATTATTGCCAATACTATCAAATATATCTTTCTCGATATATATTACCATGTTGTCAGATTGATTAATTTTCCATTTGTGTAATTCCTAATAAATTTTTTTTAAATATTATAAATGTATTAAATAATGAAAGAAGAGAAAAAGGTAAAAATAAACTCTACCACGTTGGGACTCTTCGGTCAACTAATAGATAGGGATTAAATTGTTTAGTGGCCACAAGGTTTGATCTCCAAGAATAATTCAAATCGGTAATAAACTATAATATAATATATATACTATTTTAATGAGCATTATTAAAACCTTAGAAGGGTTAAATGACCGGGTATATATCAAATATAGTAAAAAATTAATCTTTAATTTCAAAAATGTCAGTTTTTATAAAAAATTTCAAATATATCCCAATCTCACTTAAGTAGATCCAAATACCCTCAAATTTAATATCCAATTAACTAAAAAAATCAAAACCCTATTAGATGAAGAATTAGAGAAAACCCTAGAGCTAAGAAATGGTGGAGATCTGTGCATAGGAGAGTGAAGGCATTAGTTGCTAGTAGGAAATGGTGGAGGCTTGTGCATCCATAAACGACGGTGAGTGTAAATGATTTTTTTTTTTTTTTTTTTTTTTTTTTTTTGCATTGTTCCCTGTCTATGTTTTCTCTTTGCTTTTGTAGTTTTTCTTCAATTGAATATTTATGAAAGAATGAATTGTCAATCTTTGTAATGTTATTTATCTTAAGTTTTCATTGGTACGAAGCAATCTCTTTAGAATCTCTAAGTCTTTGATTGTAATTGTTTCATATTGACATATATGCATTTCGTCATATACTGAGAATCTTCTATATATGAAGGCTGTTCGTGCATCAGAGTTTTGTCACTTATTGGTCCTTGTGAATGCAATTATCTATTTCTATAATTACTTGTTTGGCAAGGGTTCATGTTCCCTGTTAATACTGTACATAATAAACCTCCTCTTTGAATCTTCAACAATCATCGGCTTGGTTCTTAGCTAAAAAAATTATAAAATTCGTACTGTATAAATTGTATCCCTGTCGAGCCGCGAATGAGTCAAGAAGTTTTAAGTCTAACAATTGGTTAATCTTAGCGAGAGATTATAGCACAAGAAGTTTTTAAGTCTAACAATTAGTTATTCATACAAATTGAGGGTAGTTTTGTCTATTTACATGAGATTTTGGATATATATACACACACATATACATATACATATATATATCTTTAATATTAGAAAGACAGAAGTCAAGTGTAAGTGTCTCAAGGCTACACCAAAAAGTTTTGGACTAAAAAGACCCCGAAACTAAAAAAAAAAAGTTACAACTAACAATATACATGAAAGCTTTTAAAAAAACTGATATTTTTGAAATTAAGGATTAATTTTTTATTATATTTGATAAATACTCTAAATGGGCACCCTAATAACAAGGTGGCTCCACCCCTGGCCGAGAAAAAGAAAGAATAAGAGGTCAGGATTTGGTGCCTTTTTTGGTTTTGGCTTAAGATAGTTGTCCTATGTGTTGATAGTATCTGCATTAATGCCCATAGTTGAATCCTTGTGATGTACTTATATTGAATTTTGTGCGTCTGATTGCAGATCAGGTTCTGAAGAACAAATTTGTGGTATCTGATATATGCCGTTTGCGGTTGGGATGGGCTACCTACAATTGTAAGATTATAAACTCTTCTCGATCTTATTCCCCGTGGACCTTAATTTGGACAAATATCAAGGCTAACTCACTAATTAATTTATTTTGTTGTTTCTAATTCTCTTTCCAGGCTCGGTGCCTGTAAATGTTTCTATAGCTTTACATGAGAACATCAGAGAGGGAGCAGCTCATCTGAAGACCGGCTGTTTAAGCTGCTAAATATTGAGAACGTACTTCTCTTAATGCATTTGTTTATCATATATATATGTGAGACCCCATAAAATGTGGGTAGTTTATTAAGGAGCGATGCCAATCGAAATGGTATTTTATTTTTTTACAAAGGATAGCATATGAGTTAAATTGCTATTTGTTAGGAATATCAGTGAGGTTCGAACTCGAATTAAATTGCATATGTATAATTATTTTTAGCCACTGCTTAAAAGGCCATTTACATATTTAAAAAGTATTAGTTATTTTAAGACATCTGTAATAATATCACCTAAACTTTTAATGAATTTTTATAATTTTTAATAAATTATTCATTTGATTAGAAAGTACAAAATATTTACATAATTAACGCGTAAAAATGCATATGGAATTGGTATTAATTATCATGCCACCTCCACCCATCGTCCTCACTCGTATCACCGCCACAACCACCAGCCACTATTATCTTTGGCATATATACTAATGACTCTAGATACAAATAAAGTTTCGGGATGGGGCCAAAAGGGCATCTAAAGGAGCTTCGTTTTGGGCTAGCCGCAACATGCTTGGCCCCGATTTTCTAGCATGCCGCTGAGATGCGGAGCCGTGAAGCGAAGGTTTAGATCCGACAACCAAAATAGGTGTGCCGCTGCTAGCTTTGAGCAGAGGTTGAAGGGATGGTTTGTGAGAAAGAGGAGTAAACGAAGAAGATGAAAGAGGATGAGTTTTGGGTTGAAAGAGGAGGATTGCAGGACATGGATTAAAATTGAAAAGACCAAAACGGCAAAGAACGCTGGAAAAACAAGTCGTGGCCTATCAAATCGACAGTTATGGGCGACGAAAGAACAGGCCAAAGGCGTAATAAGGAGTTTGCCGCCGACCCGGCAGCGACATGGAACTTTGGGTGTGTGCAAAAGAGAGAAAATGGGGAAGCTCCGGCTAGTTTTTATTTTTATTTTTAACAGAAACAAAATGTAATATAATTCCATTAACCAAAAAGAAAAAAAAAAAAAATCATTTACTTTTAATCGAAAAGAAAATATTAATTTACGTAACGCCCCGTTTAACGGACAAATCACACAACGTAACATAAAAAGAGGAACTCCATTGTCTTCCACTCTTCCTCCCCTCACTCTGATCAGCTGCTCTTCTCCCTTTCACTGAGACTTTATACTCGATCAGTCTGAATCGTCGAATCAAATCGATCCAACGATGGAGACCAACAACTGCATGTCCATGCTGTCGTGTGTGGGCACCAACGTCGCCTTCGCCTTCTTCGCCTCACTGGAACGCTGCTCCTGCATCAATCTCAACACTGCCGATTTTGACGACGACAATCACAACATCACCAACGACGACGACCACCGTGCTCTTTTCCTCTCCTCCTCCTCCTCCAGGCCAACTGCCGGGTCCCACCAAGACCAGCCCATCAAGCCCGCCGCCACCACCACCCACCACCGCCTCAGCGACGGCGTTTCAGCTTGATACAACCACTCACTCGTAGCGGCTCTCACGTACGGTGAATATTACAAGAAGAAATTTATGTGCTTTATGCTTTCTGGGTTATCTGTAATTTGTGTCTCGTGCGAATTGGAATTGTATTCGGATTTGGTGTGGCACTTTTGGAAGTGAAATGAATTTGGGAATTTTTGATGAGTTTTTGGAGGGAAATGCTATTTCCAGAGCTGAAATTGTTCCTTCCGTGTCAATGTACAACCTTTTCATGCGTAAGGTACTACCACTTTATGCATCTGGAGTGCTCTGGAAGCAGCAAATTTAGCTTTGGACAATAGCATTTCCTTCTGAGAAGTAAAAGTTAATTTTTTAATTTATATAAAGAATTCTTTGAATTCTCGGGCTGATATCAGCATCTGAATTCTATGTCTGCATTGTTCTCTCTCTCATGCTAACATCAGTTGTGGTTTTGCTGTGTAACGTATAGTTTGGTCAGACTAGCTAATGTCACTTTAGCTTGAAAAAAATGTGAGTGATTCCTCAGTTCCACACTTGAGTAGGTGGATTTTATTCGATATTTTACGGACTTATAGTGATTGGAGCTTGATGTTTTACTTGTTTCTGAATTCGTTTGTGTAATAAGTGGTTGTTGCTTCTCAGTTTATCAAAGTGTTATTGTATGAGTTGGAAAATGTGGAAAGTTTTCGCATTTTTCTCGGTTTCTTCTTCTGTTTCTTGTCATTTGAACCAAGAATTTGCATCACAAACCAAACATTTCATGGATATGTCTATATATATGTATATATATGCATTGTAATCGACTTTGCTTTCGGATGTTTGGACGATGCTCTCATTTTGTTGAACTAGTGTGCCTTTTTGTATTTTGTTGTTGTTCATTTTGGGGACCATAGATAATTTTCTAACAATTAGAGACCAGAAGATTAGAAAGAAAGCACTTTGCCATGTTACAGAATTTGCAACATTTGCTGACAAAGAGAAATGGCTGACTAGGGTTCTTTAATTCCTTCTTTCTCCCTTTATACGTATCTAGCAAAACTCATATCTTTATGCTCAATTAATGATTGCAATTCTATGTCGCAACAGATGACAAAAATTGATTGTCGAGTTAGAGCTAACTGATATGGTGTCTGTTTTTTGTAATTAGAAGATCTAGCATCAATGCTCTTCACCTTTCCGTTAATGCAAGATTTTCAGTGTCATGTGTGACAAAATTCGTTAAAATGTATTAATCTTTGTTTCCTTAAGAGCCAAATTTCAATCTTTATGTGAGAAGACTGATAGAGTCTAGTATTTGATCTGAGTTTTTCACATGACTCTAAGTCTTCAATTTCCAACCTTTGTATGCACATAACTTTAGCATCAGATATGGTATGAATTTATTATGTTCCCTTTACTGATGAAATCAAACATTGTTGAACAACGAATCCCTCTTCAAGCATCAGCATCCAAAACATAACTAAAGAGGAAGGGAATCAAATATCAGGAGTACCGGAAGTCCTATGTGCCAAGTGTTCACTTGCAAATTTGGTGCTTTCAGAGGTATGATTTTATTGTCTGGTTGAAATAAGATGCTGTATCATAAAATGGCATGTTTGGTTCGGGAGGATTGTTTAACCAGCACACTGACAAGAAAGAACAATTCACAAAAAACATCAAAAGAAAAACGGGAAATATAACGAAAGCAGCTTGGATATGCAGAACATGGTAGGAAATTGTTTCATTCAGCTCATCATCTACATTACATCACATCATAGATTTGTCATTCACTCATTTGCAGATAGCTCAGTTGCAACTAACGAAAAAACATCAAAATTTGCGCAGTCCATAATCTAATGGCTACTTATCTTCTTCTCTCCAGCAAATCAGCATCAAGATGCACCGCTGTATTATATACAGCCTCGCTCGCTTCCCCTTCAAGACTCTACCTCTTTGAGCCTGAACCTTGCACCCCTTCCGCAGAGGAAAAGGCAGGCACCCCATCCGTGTGAGTTTCTCTGAAAGAACTATCAAAACCTAAAACTGTGTTTTGTAGATTGTTCACACTTTGCTGATAGTATAAACTGACTGCTCTTACATTTAGAAGTGCTTAGTGTGGGAGGGTACGAAAAGTTAGTTACGAAATTTTGTCTTCCAGTGCAGCAAGTTACTGTAAATTTTTTGCAAGTTTGGGGGGTGGAGCATGTGGCTTCCCTTGGGAGTTCCGCAAGGAGCCAAAACCCAATTTTCTGGATTCAACCATTTTTTTTCACAGCAGTGGCAGTTTCATGGGCGGGGAGTTTCTGCTTAGCTGTTTGTTCAACCAGTTGAACCAAGATTTTTAACTATTGGGAAGCTACCTAATGCTTATAAGTAAATGGCTTATCTCATAAGCAGTTTTAGAGCTTTGGAACAAGTGCTTTTAATTTCCTTCAGTGAGCATTAATTATATATATGATTTTACAAGCCACCCAAGAGAGTTGGAGATGGGAGATTCTTCTATGAGCCAACTTTAGTTTACATGCTTGATGGTGTTGATTTTGCGGCTATAGTAGCAGTAGTCATTCCAACGTGGGATAGAACTTTCTGGGATGGTTGCGGGATGTGAGTGGGCGGTTGGCCGGTTGTACAGTGATTGTCAACTGACCAGTCGCATCCCGCTAGTATCCTGCATAGGAGAAAACCTAGAAACATTTGCATGCTCAAGTTACTATTTAGAACCTGACACCATCACACACAGTGAAGTGATGCAGCGTGTAGTTTTGAAGGTATCATGTGTTGTACTTTTATGCGCAAAGGAAGTGAATTCTAACAAAGTATCATATATCAATATCATTGGCGAAGCGAATAAACAAACAATCTAAAAAATAAGAACACAAGAGATTTAATGTGGTTTTGTGTAAAGCTTATGTACACGGTCGAAGCACATCGATAAATTTCACTAAACAAACGGAGATAACAAAAGAGTTTAAATTCTTACAACTCAAATCCCACAAATTACAAACTCTAAATCAAACGAGTAGAGAATAAAAAACTAACGGAGAAGATTCTTCTAAATTGCTCTCTAACTCACAAATTCACAAATTGACTCTCATCAAATTGCCACATGAATGAGCCACATAAAATAAACTACCCTACTGTCCTATTTATAAAGCATAGGACTTAGGTTTACAGATGAATCCTAATAGGAAGTAAATCCAAATCCTAATGAAATAGGTAATTAACAAAATCTCACCAAGCAAGGAAACCAACCAAGAAGTCAAAATCCAAATCCAAATAGGACACTAAAAAAGAAATAGGTAACACATACCTAATTTTGATAACGCAAAACCCAACAATCTCCACCTCGGCAAGAAATTAGTGAACTTCCAAAAAAACAAACTTCAAACTAGGATACCAAAAATACAAACGCAAAAGTGATCACCATATTCTTCAAAGAACAGATCTCCACCTAGACTTAAAAAAAAAAAAAAAAAAAAATCAAAAGTCTTCAAACTTGAAATTTCCTCCAATGCCATCTCCAACAAATTCTATTACGAAACCTAACAAATACGAACCAAAATCCAAACAAAAGCTTGAACAAACGAACCAAAAGTGCAAATGGCACTCCCCCAAAAAGCTTGAGTACCAAGCTCCACCTCCTCACATAACCTTTAGAGAAGTTTAGAAAAATAATCTTCTACAATGCTTGCCTCAACACTAGCAGAAGACTTATCAAACGGCTTCTTTTTGCCCTTGAGTTTAGGGCAATCTATTTTCTAATGACCCTTCTTATGACAATAGCTACAACTGTTTTTTTCAAGTTTGCCCTTTTCCTTATTCCTTCCTTGAATTACCAAAGCTCCATCTTGTGTGTCAAACACCTTATTCTTTAGCTCTTTAGAATTCAAAGCAGCCTTAACATCTTCCAAACTAAGACTTTCTCTACCGAATAGCATGGTATCAACAAAGTGTTCATATGAAGGAGATAGAGAACACAACAAAGTTATTGCATAATCCTCATCACTAATTTGGTCGTCCACAATTTCAAATCCATCATAAGTTTATTGAATTCATCAACATGCTTATGAATTAACGTACCTTCATCCATTTGAAGAGTATGCAAACTTTTCTTCAAATTCAACCATTTAGCAAGGGATTTGGTCATATACAAGCTCTCTAATTTGAGTCACAACTTTGGTGCAGATTTGATGTTACTAACTTCATGCAAGACTTCATTAGATAAAGTCAACAAGATTGCTCCAAGTGCCCACTCCATAACGTCTTTGTTTTCCTCATTAGTCAATGAATTAGCAAAGCCTTCACACCCTTCAGCATTTTCAAAAGCTCTTGTTGAACTAACAAAGCACACATCTTTAATTACCAAATACCAAAGTCATTCCCATCGAACTTTTCGATATCAACTGTCACCAACGACACAAAAGGCTTCATAGTGACTAGCAAGCAAAGCCTAAGTTGAAACCTGAGCTCTGATACCACTTGTTGTACTTTTATGAGCAAACAGAAGCGAATTCTAACAAAGTACTAAATATCAAAGTCGTAGGTGAAAGCGAAGAAACAAACAATCTCAAAAATAAGAACACAAGATGTTTAATGTGGTTCGGCGTAAAGCCTACGTCTACCGGCAAAGCACGGCGAGGAATTTCACTAAACAAATGGAGATAACAAAAGAGTATTTTTAAACTCTTACAACTCAAATCCCACAAATTATAAACTCTAAACTAAACAAGTAGAGAACCTAAAACCTACAGAGAAGATTCTCCTAAATTGCTCTCTAACTCACAAGTTCACAAATTGACTCTTACCAAATTGCTAGTAAACTAACTCTAATGTCCTATTTATAGAGCATAGGACTTAGGTTTACATAGGAATCCTAATAGGAAGTAAATTCAAATTCTATTCAAATAGGTAATTAAGAAATATCTCCGCCAACTACAAAAACCAATTAAGAAATTAAAATCCAAATCCAAATAAGACACTAAAACAAAATTGGTAACAAATACTTAATTTCAAGACGTAAAACCCAACATCGTGGCATGGCATATTGGCATGCATTCGACACTATTATGGGTTGCTGAAATTATTTGTCGTGTGTAGAATTAATTTTTCAAATGGATTTTTTTATTTTTTTTTAACTTTTGGGTGCACCATCGACGTCAAAGAATGTGACGTGTTTTGCATTAGAATCAGTGAAGGGGTGTGTGAACGGTGAGAAAAAATGTGTATAAATATCATCTCTCTATACATAATAGTTGCAAGAATTAACAGATATGAGCATAATAAGTTGGTTAGACCTGCTCTAACAAAAAGGAAAAGTCTTAAGATTTAATTAAACCATTTTAAAGATGAAAAAAAAATTAGGGGGTTTTGTAGCGCAAGAATTTTGTTTCACAAATAACTAAGAACTTCGAAGTTTTATATTTGATTCTTCATTTTCTGTTCCCCTAGTATATTATTGCCAAAAGTTACATATAGCATGGGAAATAAATCTTTGCCTCACTGTCTTTAATTTTGTCACGAAAGGTGGGGTTGGGATGCGAAGGCGTGCAGCTGCAACTATGCTTACCATTGAGTAGAAGAGCATGTCTAACTAAAAGCATAACAAATTTCTGTTTTACTTTACTCTATTTGCCTATAGCAAAACATAAAGTTTCATACACATAAAGACACAAATTGCTGTTTGACTTTACCGTAATTAAAAATGGTAACTAGTTACAGGTAGCACAACCCACAAAACCGAACCAAACCAAATCAAACCGTGCTAGTTCAAGTTTAACAGCATGTATAGGTCGCTTATACCTTTGAAAGAACCCTAGTCACATTAACTTTTTGCACATTACAATTGCAGAATTCAAAAGGTGATTCAGAGAGAAACTATAAGACAGTTACTGATAAAGTAAAATGATCGAATATAGAACACAAACAGAAAGGGAGCTGTTAGCATGCAGGTGTGTCTATTTTCCTCAGTCAAATGACATGATTTCATGACAAAGGATATTGACACAGGTGAAAGAAAAGTAAAGTGTTCTCTGTACATCTCTTTTCTCCGGTCCCTTGCATGTTTTTATTTATTTGTGACATTTACAATTAAAGAAACCAAAAGAGAATCAATAGATAAAAATAAACAAGGGCATACATAATGAGAAAATGGGCGTCCGGAAATAATTCCCAAAGTAGAAACTGTTTTGGATTGAGAACATTAGGGGTCATACTCAATAATCACATCCCCAACATCTTATTATTTCCATTCCATGTTAGAGGAATCATGAAAGCTGACAAACATGCAAAAAAAGAAAAGAAGGAAACCATACTTTTTCCTCTCTTCCAATCAATTTTTTATTTTTTTATTTTTTTTTAATTTTTTATCACAAAAGAAAACAAAATTCTGAAAAAGTATAAAAATAGTATCTTGGATTCAGTCTTCCAGTTCAAGTCTCTGTGTGTTTTCAGCAATTGTGCAAATGACAAACGTTTTCTCCACTTGGTTTACACAATGGCTAAGCTTGTTGTTAATTTTTGCTTACAATTTTCATGTAATGGCACAATGGCCTAGTGGAGGATCAACCAGGTTCTATGATTTCAAGGTCTCTTGTAACTTCTTTGATGTATATTTTTCCAATTTCTCGCGAGTTTCTTTTTGTTGACGAATGTACATACTCAATCTGATCATTTCGATTTTCAGGTACAAACCAAAAGAGTTACTAGACTGTGCAACACCAAGGACATCGTGACCATCAATGGAATGTTCCCGGGGCCATCTGTATATGCTCAAGAAGATGACAGAATCGTAGTCAAAGTAACCAATGAGACACCTTACAATACCACAATTCACTGGTAAGTACGTACACAATCCTCGTTGAGTATATTTTTTTGTTACACTGGCCATTTCGAACTCTAGACCTATCATTTTTCTACCCATCACCTACCCACCCTCATCACTAGGATAGTGGTTTCATTGAGTATATTTTGTTAACAACTTAATAGCAATGTTTTCCTTTAATTTCCTATTAATTGTTTCTAATTACTTTTCTAATAGGCACGGCGTCAGGCAGAAGTTATCGTGCTGGTTTGATGGACCTTCATACATAACCCAGTGTCCAATTCAAGCTGGCCGGAGTTTTACATATGAGTTTACAATGGTGAAGCAGAAGGGCACCTTTTTTTGGCATGCTCATGTTTCATGGCTTAGGGCAACTGTTTACGGTGCCCTTTTGGTGTACCCAAAAACTGGGGTTCCCTACCCATTTAAAGTCCCTCATGAAGAGCACACCTTAATTCTAGGTAGCAAAGTGAATTCTTCTTCTTCTTATTATTATTTACATTTTAAAAGTGATCATTTGGGTTAATTATTATGCTACGGAAGTTTGGGTTAATTTTGATTATTACTTGGGAAAAATACTAGGGGAGTATTGGATGCAGGATGTTGTGGAACTTGAGCTTAACACTACAGCAAGTGGAGGGCCTCCTACACCTGCAAATGCATATACAATCAATGGCCAACCAGGCCCCAACTACAACTGCTCCAACAATGGTAACAAAGTTAAATTCTAAACAATGTTAAAAATGTATAATATTTACCGTGTTTCTCAAAGACTTGTCAGCAATGTGATTGATAAACATATTCCAAATAATGAAACCATAGTTCATTCGTTTATATCATCTATTTGTTTTTCTTACTATATTACATACATAATATAAGAAAAGCGATTAACAGATCAGCAATGTGATCAATAAATGTGATACAAATAGTTTAAATTTTATAATATAAAATGCTACATTTTTCCCTAATCTTCTTGTTTGTCACCTAATTGTTTTCCTTGACATGTGCTTTTGTGATTGTTTCAGATGTATACCACATTGATGTGGTATCAGGGAAGACGTACTTGCTAAGGCTAATACATGCAGGTTTAAACATGGAGAACTTCTTCGCCTTAGCCAATCACAATCTGACAATTGTCGAAGCGGATGGAGAGTACACAAAACCATTCACTACGGACCGTGTGATGCTTGGGCCAGGCCAAACAATGAGCGTTCTGGTCAACGCTGACCAATCTCTAGGAAAATATTCCATGGCAATGGGACCTTACATGTCCGCCAAGGGAGTCAAATTCCAAAACATTTCATCCATTGCTTACTTCCAGTACTTAGGTGCTGTCCCTAATACCTTATCTTTGCCTGCTAAACTACCCGTCTTCAATGATAATCTTGCCGTTAAGACGGTTATGGACGGATTAAGGAGCCTGAACAATTGTGTTAATGTGCCAAAACAAATTGACACTGAACTCTTTGTCACCATTGGATTGAATGTTCAGAAGTGTCGATCCAAGACACCCGAAAAAAATTGTCGAGGCCTTAATAACGGGGTTATGGCAGCGTCGATGAATAATATAAGCTTCGTTAAGCCAAAAACGTCGCTTTTGGAAGCGTATTATAAGAAAATTAATGGCTCTTTCACTGAAGATTTTCCTAGGGTACCCCTCAAGTACTATGACTTTGTCAATGGAGCGCCTAATAACGTTCCTAATAATACACAAGCACTGAATGGGACTAGGGCATTGGTCCTTGAATATGGTACTAGAGTGCAACTCATCATGCAGGATACTGGGACAGTCACTACTGAGAACCACCCAATTCATCTTCACGGCTACAGCTTCTATGTTGTTGGGTATGGGAGTGGGAATTTCGATTTGAAAACTGCAAACTTCAACCTGGTTGACCCGCCTTATATGAACACAATCGGAGTCCCCGTCGGCGGATGGGCTGCTTTACGTTTTGTTGCTGATAATCCTGGTAAGTAGTGTTCAATTTCTATATCAGTACTAATTCATTATGCTAGCGTCAGTCGAGCGTGGGCACGTGATGTATCACAACCTTTTGTTGAGAATGCCTGTGCTAGAGTCACATCCGACCCACCTCCGACCGAGGCTATATCATTTTGACAAGAAAAAGATTGATTATTAGTGACAGTTTGATTGTAAATGCAGGGGTTTGGTTTATGCATTGTCACCTTGACATACATCAGTCATGGGGTTTAGGGACGGTACTTGTCGTGACTAATGGTCAAGGAGAGCTTGAGACCCTTCCTCATCCTCCTGCAGACTTGCCTCAGTGCTAGAGTAAAGTTTCTTTGAATTTTAATAAGAAACTGACACAGAAGAGGGTTTTAATCAATCTTTGTTTCCAATTAATCAAGATAATTCTTTGTGTGTGTGTGTGTGTGTGTGTTGGGGGGGGGGGGGGGGGGGAGGGAGAGGGGTTGTAAACGAGTTTAATCAAATTAAACTATTATTTCCTTTTCGCTCAGTACTAAGCGTGGTATAGTGTAATTTCCTTTACTTGTTAGTATAAAGTTTTGTTTAAATTTTGCAGAAAGCGAGGTCAATATCAAACACGGCCACTTTTCTTTTTATAAATTAATAAAAAACACTTTTGGAGTATCTACTCAACCAAAATTTGTCATTGTCAAAATAATTGTCCCATCCAGTTCATTTAAATATTGATTTCGGAAAAATATTCACACACTCCAAATTACTTTTCTCACACCCGTTTAATTTTTTAATATTTTTACACACCAATAACACTTGATAGAAAAATATTAAAAAATTAAAAGGGTATGAAAGAAGTTATTTAATGTGTGTGAATACAATCTCCCTTGGTAAAATTGCAACGTTCCTATATTACAGCAGCTTAAACTATCAAGGATATTCGTGTCAATAAAGAGTACTGCATATATACGTTTTTATCCATCAAGAAAAAGGACTTTGTACTTTGTCTTGTCATGAGTATATTTCTTGACATATTCATTCTTGACGATTTAAGCCGTAATGAAAACAATGAGCTGTGTTTATTAACACGTAAGAAATTGAAAAGGTTAATTTTCTTTTATAATTTGTAATCTACATAAAGATCAGAAATCAGATCAACTATAGAGGTTAGTTGACATTGACAACTAAATGAAAACTCTAAAAGCAAAATAAATAGAAAACTCGCCAAAATAACCATTAAACTTCGTGATGAGCAACAAATTTGTATTTTCAAGACAACGGGAGTTTCGTCCCCTTCCGCCTTGGCCTACCTCTCTAGCCTCAGCTCGTCTTTAACCTTCTCAAAACCTTCCTGGTAATTCTTGGCCTTTACCTCCTCAACAGTAGTCAAATCAATGTACCAAATTATTTTTGCCTCATGAATGGCATTCGAAGCTTGTTGTTTGGCATGCGCGCTCTTAAGTTCTTCCAATGGGGATAGCAATCGCTGTTTCGCCTCTATCCTCACTGCTGTTTCTAGGCCCGCAATCCGTTCAAGCTCATGGATCCGTCTTACTTGTCGGAATAGGGCGACCTCTGTCCACACATTAGCATAATATACGAGGAACATTAGGGGGAATTGACACACATCAACAAAGAGAATGGAGGAAAGAAATTTAGGTACCTCATAATGACTCCCGTAGCACCGGTTAGTGACATCTTCAAAAAAGGTGCAAGCTCATTTGAAATCAGCAGGAGAAATTGCAACTCTAAGCAGCACCCGAGCATAATTAATGTTTTGAAGACCACTAGCATCAGAAGGAAGAACAATTCGATCAATTAAAGGCCGGATCACAAGAGGAGGATGAACCGTTCACTCTGACCTCGATAGGGCAATCAGCAAAAGACTATTATACCAGGAAGGTTCAACTATAAGCACTTACAGTGGAAGGACAGAAGTTGATGTCGAGACAACCAAAGGATATCATAAAAGATTTCTCATTTCTCGTGCGTGAACATCGGAAGTAACGCTTCGTCATTACGAACTTTAGGGAACGCTACACGAAGGTGCACATCTGAATCTAAACTGTTGCCACATCAACATTAGAGGTCACCTCGCATTCATGAAGACCAAACAATACATATTCCAACTTACTCCGAAAAGCATGGTCTTTGGATAACAATCCATTCTCAAGGGGAACAGGTTACCTCTTAGATGGGTAGTTAGGGGAAATTGTGTGACCATGATTTTCTAGGGCCAGAGTAAGTCTAATCCGAATGCTGTTACCTCAAAAGTCCGGTCATGGATTCACTAGCTCTAGGCAGAGATGTATTAGAAGGAGCAGGGTGCCACCATCACTTTACTCTGGGGCATTAGGCAAAGTCCTAGCAACTCCGTTGGATAACTATGCTTGTTCCACAATACATGCGATTTAACCTGGATATGGACACAATCAGATCCTATAAGTTTTGAAGTCTCTACAATCTAGGGATAAACGTGCGTCGTAAATAATCACAACTCCTAAGAGGATGCAATATCTACTTATTAGATTTCATTTGGGATTGTTTTGGCTTAGAACGAGAATCCTAAAAAGGTCTCTCTCCTACAGTATAAATACATCGACCTAAGGTTCATCTACGGTAACACAATCTATACACTTTAAGTATCTTGTCACTGCTTGAGTCTAAAATCATTTACTAACTTGACCATCAGAGAGCCTTTGGCCTGCACACCCCCCAGTCCAAGGCTTGCTCATGGTTGTTTTACTGTTTTGTAGGTTGCTCAGGTTTACATGGATTTGTTCTCAACCTCCGCTCATGGATGTGCACAAATTTGGTTCCAACAATTTTCAAAACCAAATCCCACAAAATTTGTAATGCAACAGCAAAAAATCTGCAGTTGTTCCATTTTCAAAATCAGGTCCAACCTCCAAAATTTGATACAAAAAAGAAAAAAAAAATTGTTGTGCATTTGAAACTAAAACGCATAACAGTTGTTTTAGTGCCTTTAGAAGCCAAATCCCGCCATGGGTGTTGTAGATTGCATGATTTGTTCGTGGGAGGTTTTGTCAGCGGCAAGTGGGATGAGCTTGAAATCAACAATGGGGATTGATGTGGAGGACAAATCAAACACAAAACTTAGTCCAAACTCCCAATCACAACCTTTCCCCATCTCCTACCATGAAGCCAATCACACATGTACCTCACCCCCAACCATCGTGCAACATTATCCCAACCCCTTTTGGATTCAATTGGATATTTTGCCCTCTTATATATACTTACACTGCCTACAACCTCTGCACTAAGAGGGAGAGAAAGGAAGTGAAGTTATGAGAGGAAGTGAACGGGCCAAAGAGGGTGTGGTCGTCTGCAGTCAAAGTTGTGAGAGATAGAAGATGTTGATTTTCTTATAAAATGTAATGGTAGAAGACAAGTTGGGTGAAAAATTAATTAGGTTTTTAAAATCTAAAACAACTACAAAATAATATTTTTATAATATAATTTTTTTTTATTATTATATAAAAGTGAATTAAAATGATAAAAAAATAATGTGGGTCCTAAAAGTATTTTAGTCTAGCCTTAGTATGACATTGCATCAAACACTTCATTATTCTTATCCTGCTTAGTCCAAGTCCAACTTAGTTCTTGAAGCTAGTCCAGTCCAAGATAGTCTAGTGCAACTAATATACCATAAAAGCATTCATGAATTAGTTCAATTACTGGTATTGGTGGTGTAAGTGTGACCGTGTGAGAACTGTGAGATGAAGGTTACTTAGCACATAAGCGAGTGAGAACTAGCTATTAGTGAAATAGCATCCTCACATTCCTACACTACTAAATTAAACAGTTTGCACAACGAGGAAGAATTTGTCGCTCAAATCATTATTAGGTCGCATAAAAACTATGGCGACTAGAAAATCGTCGCACGTATTTTGTTGCGTAGAGGTGATGAAAAAAGACATTGCGGGACGAACAATTTCAAACTCGTTGCACAAAAAAAAATGGCGTGACGCTTTACTACTCGTCGCGCTAAAGTTATACGGTTGAAGGTTTTTGTCGTACGATATAAAAGGGTGCAAGTGTGACTAGTTCGTCTCGATGATTGGTCGGCGTCGCGCAATTGTAATTTTTATTAAAATAAATAAATAGAATAAAGGGAAAATTTAAAAAAAAAAAAAACAAAGAAAAAAAAGATTTCATACTAATGACAAAAAAAAAAAAAGCAAATTAATGAATAAAAAAATATTTTTTATTTATAATATAAATAAAAATGTACATACAAATATAAAGTTTTAAAAGAAAGCAGGAACAAAACTATGAAAAAAAAGCAGAAAAATCTATAGGAATGCCGTTCGAAGGATTTTGCTACTGGTTGGGGGTTGGGTTAGAGGTCGACGGGCCTAATTGTTGTGCTTGCTCAGTGTGGAAGGGCTGTGAGGGCGATGGTGCAGAAAAACCGAGGAGATGTATTCCGGAGGAACTGATAGCTTGTACAAGCATCGACATTTGAAACTTGTACAATCCCAGCTCACTCTTTAGGCCAGCGACTTCTTACGTCAAAGCCGTAACCTGGCCCTTTCACTGCGAGGATGACGAGGCTTTACTCTCCCGCTGCCTGGCATTTCCCATCCCCTACAATAAGTCCCTGGCCTCCGATCGAAAGTCTGGTCCAATGTCTCTGTCATGATGTGAAACCCTACATCCTTAGGGAGATCCACAGACTCAATCGGCGTGTCCGACGGAAGTTAGGAGGCAGACTCTTGAAGCACCGGTTGACTCTTTTCCACCATAGTCGCCTGTGAAAAAAAACATAGATTATTAATAGAAAACAATTTGAAATAATTGATATAAACGTTGAATGCATAAGAAATTACTTACATGAAGGGACTCGATCAACTCATCCCCAGGCCGAACATAAATATCAGCAAAGATGTCTAACTCCGGAAATTTTGAACCCTCCTGAAATCGAAAAAGATGAGGAAAATGTTAGTAACAAAAAAAAAAATTAGCGACATTTTAAAATTGGAATGAAAGATATATACCTTCCGTCGCGCCTCCATCCTATAGGAGAAAGGCTTCAAACCCGAATGGTGGAGAAGAATCTTCTTTTCCCGATTGATCTTGTTCGCCTTCGCCTTCTTCTGTTATAAAAAAAAAATAAACGTATTAGTTGTAATACTTACAGAAAATTTTAAAAAATAATAATAAACATTAATAAAAATTTTAAAAAGTAAAATGAAAGAAGTCGTAATTAAAAACGCACCACATAGCCCGGCTCCTGAAAATGACCGGAAAGCCAAACCCAACTATCTTGTTGGTCCTCCAACTCCTTCGGACAACCCTCCTCGAGAGCGACCTGCGGATCATCAAATTGCTAGAAACATTGGTGCAGGTTACTCTTCCACTGTTTGTAGCGTTCGGAGAAGAGTCGATTGAGGTATGTGAACATGTCCTCGTCCATGTCCTC